ATTGCCAGCATGAAAATATTGGTGTTTGCTGTTTCTAAGACACTGGAAATGAAAGCAGACGAGTCTTGTGTCTCAGCTCCATCACAGGTGTTCAGGAAGATGCCAGCCGCCACTGCTGCTAGCTAAAACATCCCTCCCCAAATGCTGCCTGAGGCTGAATGGTGGAGTGGGGGTGCAGATCTGCTGTGAATGTTTCTGAAGTCTCCGATAACACACACTTCACCAAGAGACCTTCTCCCGCACGCCCCCTGACACCAGCACAGATAAATTGAAGGGCAGGCGTTTAAATTAAACTTCATGATTCACAACCTCTAAGCAGCTTGTTGAAGACGCGCTGACTCTTCAGTGGCAGCTCTGCAGAGCCAAGGCGGCAATGCTGGAGCCTCCCCCCCACCCCAGGCACACACAACAGCCACCCCAAAGCCTTGGGGCGTTTTCAATTAATTCCTTCAAAAGCCAAACTGCGGCAGGAGTGGTCCACGGGCTTTGTTAGGAAATGAGTTTGCAGCAGGGCTAATCTCCGGGACCTGCAACGATTAGTTCAGAGAAGCAATCTGTCAGTGCAGGACTTGTTACAGCGATGGAGAGGGCTGCTGCCACCAGGAAGATGCTGAACACCGATGCCAGGCTCTGCTGCTTGCGCCTCGGTGCTCCAGGCCGGATGCTGGTGTCTGATCATCTTGTGCTCCCGCTCCTAAACCAGAGGTTGCTGCTGCTTCGGATTCAGGCACTCCCCAGAGGTGAGGCTCCCCGTCCCACACCATCCCCTTGCAAAGGGAGACAGGGAGCATGAGGAGTAACTGCACTTTCCCTGGGCCGCTTCCTTCTGGGTGCAGAGCCCAGGCTTTGCTGCGGGCCAAATCCTGGCAGACGCTTGTCCCTCTCCACACAAGTGCCACATGGACATGGGTCAGCCTCTGCTCTGCAGCAGCCTGGGAAGTGGAAGAGCAGACGGCATCGCAACTGGGGCTGCGATGGAGCGAGGCGCCCAGCAGACAGAACCCCCTGCTCAGGACTGGGGATGGCAGGTGCAGATATGCTGAAGAGGAGCATATCTTCTGACCACGCATTCAAGATAGAGGCTCCAGCCCATGCCTTCGGAATGTGGTCCAGAGTGGTCTGGGGCCTGGGGCTGCCTTGCAGGTGTGAGAAGTGCTGCACGGGCACAGGCGGCCCTGGGGGCCTTGCAGCTGCAGTGACCACTGACTGCCGCCTCCTTTGCCGAGAGCTAAGCTCATTTGCACCATGAGCGTGAAGAAGCCCGGTCTGGGGCCCCACCTGGCCCCCTCCCCTCACACCAAGGGATTCTGCTGCTCCAGGAGGTGCCCAGGGGCTGTATAACACCCCCACCCTGCCTGCTGGGCATAAGCCCTCCAGGTGGGAGTCGCTATTCACGTGCCAGCGCCCTGTGCAAGGAGGTTGCAGAGAAGAGGCAACTCCAGGGTGACTCACAGAGAGGGCCAAGAGCCATTTCCCTGCCCTCACACTGCCGCCTACAGCTCTCTGCTCACGGGCAGAAATCCTGGGCCGAGTAACACAGCCCTCTCTTCCCCGGGCCTTTGGTGAGGACCCAGGCAGTAATAGCACCTCAGGCCCCAGACGCCGAGACAGACTGTGCAGAGCGGAGGCTCCTGGCCCCCATCTCTCCCTGCCCAGGCAAGCTCCGAGGTAGCAGGGGCTGGGGGCTGCTTTGATTTTGCTGGTGGATTTTGCATTAAACAGGAGCCCAGATGAGTTTCCCAGGTGCACCATGAGTTCAGCGCCAGGGACGCAGGCGGTGCTCCATCCTCCCCACCATGGTGGGTATTGTGTGAGCTCCTTCACAAAGCCGGGCTGCTGACAGCGAGCAACCCAGAGCCCCTGGCTTTTCCCAGGCAGGAGGGAAAACGCTGGCCAGTGCCACCTCCCTGCTGCCTGCTGCTACCTCACGTCCAGGACGGTGCATGCAGGACTGTGTATGCAGCCGTAGCAGCTTGCACACCACGGCGTTCCCTCACCTGCGGGTCGTACCAGAGGCCCCGACTGGGCTCCGAGTCTCCCTGTGCTCGGTGCTGCACGGCCCTTCCCCACAGCTCTCCAAGGCAGACAAGCAACTTGGCTAAGATGGTGCAGGCAGCGAGTGGCAGGGTCCAAAGTGGAGTCCAGGCCTCTGGAGATCCCTGCTTCGCCTTTCGGGCGAGAGGGGAACATTAGGTTTGAGGAGGGAACTGAGAACCCAGGAGGCGCCGGACTTCAGGGCCTGGCATCTGCCCGACTGCCCCAAGGGAAAGCTAGAACATGCGGGCTCTGAATTAAAAGAAAAAATACAAGCCATTTTCCACCTCGTGGCCAATTTGTGAGAGCTGACATCAATCTCGCCTGCAGCCCGACACCACGGGAACTGGTGGACCCCGTGATGGGCGCAGGGGAGAGAGCCAGGGGCTGGGTCAGGCCAGCGAAGCACAAAGCCCTGCTCAGCCCAGGCCTAGTGGCTGTCCCTGCCCCAAAGTCCCTCTCCCCCCTGCCATTTCCCACCCCCCAAGCAAAGCTTTGCTGCACCAGCTCTCCCGGGCTCTCCAGCTGGGGCCTCCCCAGGCTCCGAGCCCGCCTGAGCCGCGCAACAGGCGCCGGCTTCCAGGTTATCGGTGCAGCTCCGGTCGCCATAGTAACGTGGGAGGATGCGAGTTCCCCCTTCCACCGCACGCCATATGCTAATCCACCAGCCAACGCCTGCTGGGGCCGAGCCCAGAGAGGCCCCTGGAGGCGCTGAGCTGGAACGACCAGGGGACAACAGTGGGCAGCCTGCCGGTGCCACTTGGGCTGGAGATACATTGGCAGAGACTCCAGCCGGGGGCACAGAGGGCGTTCCCTCCGAGCCCAGCGCAGGGCCGCAAGAGGCAGTGACATGGCCCAGCTCTGCCCCCTGCGGCAGTGAGGCCCGCAGGTTTCTGGGCATGCAGGATGGGCCATGGCAGGAGGCTTTGCCCTTCCTGATACCACAGCACCAAAAAAACAGCCCAGGGGAGAGGGAGGGGCAGACAGCCTCCGCTGGTCAGAATCCAAGTGCTCTGCACGCGAGCCGCAAGGGGTTCCTGGCTTGTTTCACTGACGCTTTAATGCCTGTTTGATGGGAGCCAGTCCCAGGAAATGGAGCATGAAACTGGAGGCGAAGAACTTGCCTTTCAGTGCTTCCCTCCACAGGCAAAGTCTGATGCTTCTCCCTCCCTCTCACGTCTTCGGCAGGAGCGAGACGCATCCATCCCACCAGCTTGTGACCACTCGTGACTGTCCATGCTGGGGCAGCGAGCAGGCCCAGGGACACGGCACCACTGCCCCCAAGAAACGCCTCAGCAGCCGCCATGGACGATCCCACAGCAGGGTTGTGCCAGGAATTACAATTCCACCACAGGAGAATGAAGACATTAAACGTGAGTCCGGCAAACACAGGGCCTTGTTCTCCACTGCACCCATCTGCTTCTGGGAGCCCACGGCTCCCTCCTCATGAGGATGAAGTGGAAACCGTTTTCACAGCAGGAAACAATTACGCGAGCTAACGGGGAGGTGAGGGCCGAGGCCAAACACTCCTTCTCCCTGGCGCATTTCAACACAACAGTTCAGCCGAGCGATTCTCTATAAACCAATTTCCATGCTTGAGGTAGCTGAAAACTTCAAAGGCACAGAGGAGAATGAAAATAATACTAAGGAAACTCAGGCTCGCAGCCTGCTGCGCTGGCAGCACTGTCAGCGGCACTGATATTCCCGTGGGAAGGACTCGTCTCTGGAGAGAGCTATCCCCGCGCTCGGTGCTCTGACAGAGGTGGCTCCGGGTCCCCCTGCCCTTGCCAGCTCTGCTGTGCCGCAGCATCCTGGTTCCAGCACTTCCTGCAGCTCTGGGCCTCTGCAAGGCACAGCTCTTAGCCCTGCAGCCGCAAAGCTGGGATGGCAAACCCCTTCGTTCTTTCACAGCCTCTTACCTGACCTCCACCGCAGGGCACTGGAGCAAGGAGATTTGCGGACAACGTAAGGACAGAACACAGCAGCCTTTGCAAGGGCCGGTGCTAAAAGTTGGGATGCTTTCCTTTCATTTCCACAGGCTTTGATTCAGGAACTAATAGCAGGGGCAGGGCTTACGTGTGGATTCCAGTTTAACCAAGGCTGATGCCCCTGGCCAGCAGAAGTGTGGGACTTTGTGGGGAGGATGGCTGCTACCCTAAACCAGATGCTGCCCAAGCCTTCACTTTGCTAGAGGCCTCAGCGTTAGACCCTGTCTGAAAGGAAGCATTTCTGACACACTGTGCGAGGACGAATGGCACCAACCTACCCACTGCCATGCTGCCAGCAGCACAGGGCCAGCTTCCCACCCTCATGTGCACTAGTGGAACAGGACTTTGCTCCCAAGAGACTGGCTTCCACGTTGCTTGGATGGGTTAAACCAGGCTGAGAAAACATGGCACCATTTAGCTTTGTGGCAACTGGAAAATGCACGCAGCACCCACCTCCAACACAACAGAAACCAGGCCCCAAAATGCACCCCCAAGCCACGAACAAACCAAGTGAGCAGCTGACTATGGCACAGTGACCAGGTTTGGAAACAAAATGGTTAAACTCCCAAGGCCCTTCCCCCTGCACATCAGAACCCAGGACGCTGAGCGAGGAGTGCAGGACTCCTCACCCGCGCTTCAGTCTCAGCACCGAGTATCTGCTGCGAAGGGTGCGACAGATGCCTCCCGTCAGGGCATGCAAGCAATGGGCCCAGCTACATCATAACCCTCTGATCTGCCTGAGAGCAGGAGCTTTGCTTGTGCCCCCAGCATGCCAGGCAGAGGGGGCTGCTGGGATGCAGGGCACCGTGAGAGGTCCACGTGGTCATCTGAATTCTGGGCCAGAATTCAGATCCTCTGCACCTTGGTGACCACATACATCCTTCTTCTTCCCCCAGAGGTAAAGCAAGTGGAAGGATTTCTCTCCAAACAAGGAGGCAGGAAGTCTTCCCCAGCCCACACCCAGATCCGCCAAGACACCTACCGGAGCGTCTTGCGGATCATGTCCTCATCTGTGATCCCGTAGTAGGTGAGGGTCTCGTTCCAGGTGGGGTTCAGGGTGTTCCGCAAAGTTTTCGTTCTCAGCTTGTTGGCCTGGAAGAACAAATCACGCCCCCGGTTACTGCGGCTGCAGGGGGGAGCAGTCATGACCAATGTGCAAGCACTTGAGAAAGGAAAGAGCCCAAGAAATGAGCTGCCCCCAGGCCCTGGCACCCGGGAGGCAGCGAATGGTGCTGCCCCACCCATACAAACTGGGCACCTCGGCTGAGAGCAACAGAGCACAGGGACTTTGGGCTCAGGGACTCATTTATATGTCAGGGGAGAGAAAAGAAAAAAAAATCAACCTGAGTTCATTAGAAGCTCCACAGGGGGCTGTGCGGGCTGCCTGCCCGCAGGCCTGGCTCTCAGTATCATTTCCCTGATACACGTTTCATTAGCCTTGGCAGCGCTCAGCATCCCCTGGCTCTCACCACAGCCTCTTAACACTGAGCGATGCAGTGCCCAGGGACAAGAACAACCCTAGCACAATGCCGGAGCACGAGCCTGCAGCCCTCCTGCTGAGGCACAATGGAGCAAGACGGATTCTCCCAGGTCCCTCCCACTGTCCCGGGCTCTGCTACAGCCCCCAGCAGCTGGACCTTGCTGCTAGGGGGAGCAGGAGCAACTGCTGTACGTCCTCTGCTGACGCAGGCCTGGCGCATGCTACAGAGCCGTGCTGGCCTCACAGCGTGGACCAAGTTTCCCTTGCCAACAGGGCAGTGTCGACAGCCCCCCTGCTGTGGATGCAGCTCTGCCAGTGGGGGAGAGGGCTTCCACCAGCTTCAGCTTCTGCCATTTGGGCATGATGCCAGCAGACAGCCCCTCCTGTTGCCATCTGTCACGTCTAAACAAGGGGACTCTGCCGACGTAGCTCTGGAGCCTGGACCAGGCCTTGGACAGCTCTGCGTTCATCCCCACGGAGGAAGCTGCTCTTTGCAAGCAGAAGACCTACTGTGCCCCTTTCGTGGCAGTCCTTCTGAAAGGGCCTGCTCCGTAAAACACTGGTATGGCGGTTTAGTGCCCCTATAAAACAAGCTGCTGCAGCCATATATAAGGCCCAGTTCTGGAAAACAAGTAACTGCCCTGACAAGTGCATTTTTTAATAAAGCGTTAGCGAGACGCTTCCAAGAATCAATTATTGGTTCATTGTATTGTCATTTTTTTGCTGTTCTCTCGGCTTTTTTTATTAAATCATTAATCATTCCATGCAAAGTCTCATGGGAAGCTTCATTATGAATTCTGGACACGTGCTGGAGCAAGAAAGTGCCAAAGAAACACACAAGTGTCAGTCAGGAGCAGGCACGGGGGAACGATGTGGGCATGTACTCTGCTCCCAGTGGAGCTCATCAGAGCATCCTGGTTGCCTCCCGCCTCTGAGCTGGGTCAAGCCGTTGCTTCGTTCCAGGGCCTCTCGTTAGCATACTAAGTCCAGAGGAGTTTTGCCAGGAAACCATTTCAGGAGGAGCTCATTTGCACGCGGCTCGTTGGGAAGGCCGAGCACGTCCCATTGCAAAGGTTGTCCCATCATTCAGTCTAGCACCAGAGTTGGAGGAAGCTGCTAATTGAGAGGTTGAACTGAGGCAGCCCGGTCCGCAGTCCGCCGTGCACTTGGGGGGGGACAATCTAGAGCAGATGCCAAAGCCTCTCCCCACTGCCATCAGCCTGGAAGAAGACATCTTTCTCCTGCCCTGGCAGAGGGGCACTGAAAGGCTCCCTGCCATCCTGTGCCCAGCAGGATGCTTTCAGGTCATGGGAATGGGAAAGGGCCTTGGGCCACGGGGACAACATCCTCGGCTCGTTCCATCCGGCTGCTTTATCAGCGCTCGGCAGAAAGGCACTGGGGGCTGGAGAGAGCTCTGATCCAGCACCCTCCGGGGCCTGGCAACGGGAGTCCTTCCGCTGACTTTGCTGGGCTATCAGCAAGCTGAAGCCTCAGCAGCCCGGGCTCCACCTGATTGAGTCTGTCATCTGGCACTTTGCTCATGCACTTCCCCAGCTTCATCCCCAGTGACTTGAACAGGGCAGATCCACACACACAGGTATCTGACTGGCTGGGGGCAGCCCGCTTTGAACATTCATGCCCAAGGGCCGGGGCTTTGACGAACTGGGACCAGAGAGAGAAATCCAGGCACGTGGGCTGCCCTCTTTATACCTCCCCGCAGTGCCCCCACCCTTCGATATCTCCTCAAAGCTGGGGTTTTCTAGCGGCTCCCCTGTGACTGTGTTCTTCAGGGCAGCAGGGCTGTGTGATTTCACCGCAGGTCTGATGAGACTTGGTGCTGTGCTGGTGGCTTGGAATCAGGGAAATACAGCGCGTTTTTGGAGTAACTCTCCAGCCTGTGTGGTTGCAGCAGAAACTCTCTTCCATCTTTTCTCCTCTTCCAATGCCTCAGTATTTCTGGGGACAGAATGCAGTCAATCCATATTTGCAGGCTAGGCACGCACCGATAATACTGGGGCAACCAGAAGAAAATCCAGACCCTGCCAGTGCACCGCTACAGGGAAGAGCAGATGGGAAAGGTAGGAGGGAAGTCCAACAGAACTGCTATGGAACGGCCCAGAAGCTGGAAAGCATTCAGAAAATGAACGTGCAAGGCATGGAACTGCAAAACCTGACTGTGGCAGCAGTACGTTGGGGTGCAGATCGTCCCCAGACCAGGCCTGCTGCCAGGACACCCCACCGCAAGCCCCCCAGTTAATGCGGCTGCTCTATTTTCGGAGGCATCACGTCACGCTACTGGCGAAGGCTTGGCACGGACAATGGGGCGATGCTGGAGCAGCGTGACGTGATGCTGCTGAAAATAAAAGCAGCGGACCAGACACGTTGAGGCTTTAGCGAGCAGCAGGAGGGTGCGAATTGAGCTGCTTGTTTCTTAAGCTTTCAAAGTAACAGGAGCAAAGGAGCAGAGATGCAAGCTGTGAGTGAGCCCGAGAACTGACAAATGCCACGAGGAGCCGCATGCTGGCCTGAGTTCATCTGCCCAGGGCTTCTGCCTGGAGATGAAAACATCCTGCTTGGAGTTGAAGGAGATGAGCACCGTTAGGGAGGCAGGCAGGTGGAAAGAAAGAAAGAGCAGGAGAAGGAGGTGAAAAAGCCTCATCTGCATCCTCTCCTTGGCTCCCAGGTCCTGCTGGAAAGCCATCTGCTGCTTGCTAAGTCAGGGGAAAGGCTGCAGGGAAGATTTCTTCCCAACAACAGCATCTCCCAACCTAAGATCCTGAAGCCTAGATTACCCAACGCATCTCAGTCTGCTGCGGAGGCAAAAACTGCATGCCAAGGGGCAGGAGGGGGAAGAAAATCAGCAGTCGACTGAGCTACTTTGCCCAACAGGATCTCTGGAAGGAGAGTGGGGGTTCATGCCCCTGATCCATCACCTCTCTCCAGGCTGCCTTAGCATGATGCGAACGGCTGCTCTCAGCGGCCTCCTAACAGCGTCACTCAATCACAGCGCTGCACCTTGGAGCAGAGGCACCTTCCGGGTGTTAAGAGGAGAGCACAATCCCAGGCTGAGGGATGATCAATCTCAAGCCAGCCTGTGCTCCCCTTCCCTACCTGCCCTCCCGTGATGGATCGAGCTCAACAGAACTCACACTCCTTCCCCGCCAGCCCCAGCACTGCCGCTCCCTGGCAGGGAGGGCAGTGACAAGGGGCTCAGGAGAGCAGGCCTATATGAGGGCTCTTCCATCAATCCCCCGCCCAGCGGGAAACGGCTCTGGCCATTTCTCAGCCTAATGAGCTCTGATGAAAGCAATAGATAAAGGCTGTCAGCAAACAGTCCCACAGGGCCGTTGCATCCATCACCCCACCCGGGAGGTGAGCAGGGTGCTCCGTGCGTCAGCACCCACAGGCTCCCTCTCTTCAGTCATCGTCTTGCTGTAGTGCCTGCTCCTTTACACACAGGGGTCAGGTTCCCTGGCAAGTCTCCCTCCCCTCTGAAGGAGGTCAGGACAAGGCTCCTGGTGCCACAAGAGTTTCAAACAAGCCAGTTCATCGTGAGAGCTCTGGGCAGGCACCGGCGGCGTTCTTGCTCCCTAGCAGGGCTCAGCGCTCTTCTCCGTTTTCTCCATCCTTCAGCAATGCTGTCCTGGGCGCTGCCGCCCACGCCTGCCCGTCAGAGCCGAAACCCTGGGAAGGGCTGGGGTGGGCAGTTGCAGGCTTAAGGGGCACATGATGTGTTATGCATTAGCACTCATTATCAGTGTACTTTGAAATCAGCCAGATCCAGCAACTCAGCTGCATCGGGGCCAGATAGACAGGAGGGTGCAGAGACCAGGAGTGCATAGAGCAACTGCCGTCCACCACTCAGTCTGCACAACGCCCATTACAGGACACGGATCAAGGAGTTCTGCTTTCCCCCAGGGGCTCACAGCATGCATCTGCTGGGACCTTGGCATGGCGACAGACCTTGAGGTGCTCCAGGAGCACTCAGCAGTTCGGAGACAGCAGATGCAATATCCCCAGCAATGCGATAAGCCACACGTGACTGCAGGAAAGGTCTGGGTAGGCCTGGGAATGTGCACCAAAGTCAGAGTCCAGCAAGCCTGAGGAGGGGAGTGAAATACAGCACTGGGGGCAGGCTCTGCTCCCAAATTCAGAAGGAGCAAGTCTAGCAGACCCTCAGACCTTAGAGAGGACTCAGAAGGCAGATATAAGCCCTGGAGAGCATGTGTATCCCTGCACAGACTGTCTCCTCTTCCAGTCATGAGCCCTTGGCACTCCTGTGGCAGCCCCAGGCACTGCTCGTATGAAAGTGTCCATAAGAGAGGTCCCCTATGTATGCTTAAAGCGTCACTTACTGTAACTGAGCAAGCATAAGCAAAGAGAAGCAATGCCATTAAAGCGGTGCAAAAGGGTAAATAAGCCACTTGAAAGGCCAATTTTGTTGCGTGTACAAAGGCCCCTGACTGACAGCTACACTGGCAACACTCTACCTGGTCAATGCCCTTTTCTAGGCACCCAGGAAAGGGGCCCAGTGGGACAATACATCTCCCCTATCACACCCTGCCTCTTCTTTCCACTGCTTGCACCCCAGCACACTTGCAAAGGAGAAGGGGTCATTAGCATTTGGGGACAGAACGAATGCCCTCCAGGATCACGTTCCACTGCCCACCCAAGTACCTCCTAGGACTTCCTGATCTCATCCAGAGCTTCCAGGGCTGGGCTGGGTGTCAGGACTTCAGGGTCCATCCCAGGTTCTTGGCCCCTGGCTTCTAGTGTGACCTTGACCTCATCGTGAAGAGCGGGGTTTCTACAAGCACTTTAAGGAATCAGGTGTGATATCACCCAAAGCTGGCAGGTTTCTGAGGTCCTGTTCTTGGGAGGTTGTGAAGGATCCCGCGGTACAAGCTCAATTCCCCTCCAGTCCTCAGGCTGTAAAATGGGCATTGTGGCAAAGCCACGAGGCTCCGCAGCTGGAAGGCAGGAGGCCTTCCCAGGGCAGCACAGAAACACTGCATCCCACGAGACCTAGACATCAACAGCTCATGGCATATGGGGGCTAGACAGTGCAAGTTAGTCTGTAAGGTGGTGGCACGGGCTGTTCCCAGGACCTCACCTTCCTCCTCCCCGCTTTTTATTCCTATACTGAAGAGCACAAGATGTGCCCGGGACATGCAGGGGCTTCCATTTGCTCTTCACTCCCTGGTTTGGCATGAGCAGAAGTGACAGTGTCTGCTGACAAACGTGCTCATGGCCCTTCCGAACTGCAGTGAAAACCAAGATGTGCCAAGGTGAAATGCCCCAACCACTGTGAATTTATGCTGCTGAACTGTAGCAAATAAAAGGGCCTTTTATTTTGGTATAAAACGAGAGCCAGATTAATATTCATAGCATATGCATTTTGTATTTAAATTCATCTACCCCAGCAGTTACTGTGAGTTCTCACTACATATCAACATCTTTAATTATACCGTTCCCCAGCACATTCGAAACAGAAGGGGCTAGAAATATTTCCCTTGCAGTTTATACTAGGTGTCATTATGGGCTGCGAGGTTTTTAAAGCAAAAAAGGAAGAGAAAGGAGCTGTTCTTCTAGCAGTGCCATTCTGTCTGGCTCATGCAGACTTTAAAGCCATGTCATGCACAACTGCTTTCTGAGGAGCTCTGGAGTTCAGTCTGCTGAGAGCCAGGACAGATGTCCAGGCATGGCCTTTTGGCCAAGATCAACCTGGCAGGGGAGACCACGGGGTCACGAATGTGGTTTCCTGGGGTGAGGCCGGCCCTGTGCACTCCGGGCAGGTTGATCCCTGTGAGTTTCCCCACATCCGGGAAACGACTGCACAGTTTTGTGGCAATGGGGAGCTGTGTTCTTGCCTTCCCCCTAGCTTTCTCCTTGGCCTTTTGGCTAGGACCAAGTGAGACTAGGGGGCATCTGAACCCCAAGGCCTCTGGGCTTGGGGCTTGCACATAGGATGCCTGCCATGGATTTGGGGAGTATCCGAAGCCCCAAGATGGGTTTGGGAGGGGGGATATTTGCCTGGCAGTAGAGCCACACAGACTTGAATGACTGAGCTGTGCTCAGTCAAAATTTGAAACTTGACTCTTGGGATTTGCCCAAGTGTATTTGGTACTGATTTGGCCCTTGACATGAAATATTGTCATGCCAGACCCCCAGCACTTTGCCCAGCTTGCCCTGAGCTCACTGCACTATTCCAGGATGCACCAGCCTGCAATACGCTAGCTATAGGGGTGAGGCCACAATCAGCAGTCTCCTCTGCAGGTGTCACAGGGGAAACACATGGACTAGCATTATACAATAAGGGATTATACCAGCCCCTTCTACTCCTAGGCTGCCTCAGCCCCTCCATCTGCATGCACCACTCCCAACATGCATCTCCAGCCTGCTCAGCCGCGGGCTGGCTGGCACAGGTGAACAGGAGCGGGTGCACAGGGCATGCTCTGCCCCTCCCGCCCCAGGCACTTCAGAACTTGGCCAACGAGACCCAGAACCACATGAGCTGCAAATCTCCAAAGCCAAGTTGCTCTGACTTGGTGATTAAGGAGGTTGCTTGGTGGTGCTACCACAGCCAAGAGGAGATGGCCAGTGAGCCTCTCTTCCCAGAGGTGAGGCTTTCAACAGAGGCACCGTCTCATCTGAAGGTCTCCTTCTCCTTCTGGAAGCACCATCAGCCCCAGGCTGCGTGTGAACTCCAGGTCACGCTACATTTTCATGCCATCAAACTCCTGGCCCAGCTGTATCTCTTTGCTCCAGTTGGGGTGAAAGAAGGAGGGGAGAAAAAATTCTGGCAAGAGCTGGACTTCAGGGGGTTGTTTCAGCCCAGCACAGGTATAGGCTAAACTAAGAGTCAGCCTTTAGGCTGGCTAGGGTTGTACATGGGGTAGAGACAACAAAGGGACCTGTATGTTCTCGCTTTTCTTTTTCCGGGAAAGTACAGGATGTCTAACACGATACGTGTAATATGTGTTCGATCGACACTACTCAGGGAAGTTTTGTATATACTGTGTAAAAAAAATGAGATGACGTGCAATATGATACCAATGCCGATGTCTTTTTAGTAGTTTATTTGGAATGTTGAATTATCCTTTTGTGAGGCCTCTCTTGGAGGTCGTTTTGAGCCTTTTGTTACGGTCTGGTTGTCTAATAAATTGTTTTTAAGAAAAAAGAAAAAAAAAAAAAGGCGGCACAGGAAATACCCTGACCAAAGTAATGTAATTAAAATGGCACTGTGTAGCAGAGAGTGCACCCTTGTCTGCTTGCGGACAGGACTTCCTACGAGAGCCTCGTAGTTAGCTTCCCACTGGCCAGCTTGCAGTGTATGGCTAAGGGAGAGTGAAACTTGGGGGCATCTGACCCCAAGCCTCCAGGCTTGGGCCTGCACGTAGGGTGCCTGCCAAAAAATCTGGAAGTATCTGAAGCCCCAGGCTGAAATTTCTAGGCTGGAGGATACTTGCTAGTAGTAGGGCTATTACGGTTCTCAAATGATTCAAAGGATTTGGAGCTGATCTGGCTGATCTGGCTAATTTGACCTGGAACATGAAAAAATTTCCTTCAAAAATTCTTGGTTTCCTTGAAGAGTTTCCCCAGGAGGTATTTTTATAAAAGAAGGAACATTTGCAACTTAATCCCAGTTTTGACAGAAACTAGTAAGTGCTTAGGTGAGAATGCCGTCACCATGGGCACTTCTAAGCGAGGAGCTCCCAAAGAGAGCAAACAGAACGGGTCCTTCCCCCCGGCACAGCCCACTGCCTGTCTCTTTAGGTTCATCTCTGTGTTGCTCATCAGCCTAATATCTGACCCCCTCCATGCCTCCTTCAAAAGAGGCGCTCTCTGGGGACTGTCTCTTTTTCTGTACCGTACAGCTCCAAGCACGCTGGTGGTGCTAACAGATCAGGGATGCCTGTGCAACTTGTGCGTGTTAAGAGGAGGCTGGCTGAGCACCTGAGCCTTCAAGACAACACACGGTTATTTCACACAGTGGCTTTTACAGAGAACCCACAGACACAATGTTGTACGTCACAGGACACAAAGCAGGGTAACCTCCACAAAGCATGTACCAGGATAAGCTCCGCTGAGCACAAAACAGAAGCCACGTAGAGGGAATCAGATGGTTCAAAACCCAACTCACCTTACTAGCGCCCGGGAGTAAGTGTAATTTGACATAGGGGTCCGCCAAACCATTGTGGTCCATTGGCTTGAGGCCCTGAGGAGGAGAAAGGGAAAGGAGGAGAGGTTACAATGCCAGCACACTACAGATCTTTGCTGTTCAGACCAAGGGTGAGGGCTGTGACCTGGGGGCCCAGCTCAGATGCTTCCTCCAGGCTGAAGGGCAATGCCCTGTGCCAAGAGCGATGGGGGGAGCCTCGGGCCTGGGACCAAAACCTGCCTCGCCCCCAGCCTCCTCCTGCCAGGCTTGGCGCGGACCTGAAAATCAAGCAGTGAACAAGCAGCCGCCCCATGCCCAGGGTTGGAGGAAGCCAGGCCGCCGCGCAATCTGCCCATCGATTCGTTCCAATTCAATTACCTTTGAAGAGGGCCATTAAAGGCTTTTTAACCAGACGCGAGACGGCAAAGGGAGCGGCAGTGGCTGGGGAGCAGTCAGGAGCCTCGCGTCCGCTCTCCCCCTCCCTCCCCCCTCAACTTGCTTGATCTGATTTAGGCGCGTGGCTAATTTTAGAATGAAACAGATGTGACCTTGCCACGGCCGAGCAGCTGCAGCTCAGGCCAGCCACGTGCCCAGCCCAGCAGGTTCCCCTACGCTGCTGTGCACCCCATGCTAGGCCTGGGCAACAAGCAAGGCCCCGGCACTGGCCTTGTTCGGGACTATGCCCTGGCAACCTCGATGCCGAGGACAGGAGAGGTGCACAGCACAGAGGGCCCCTGCACCTGCCATGGAGGCTGGCTTGGATCTCATGGACGAACCCAGAGAGCTGCCAGATTTTGCACCAAGCCGTGTCCCCTGGGCATATCCTTTGGCCCAGGTGCCCTTAGCCCTTAGCAGGAGGCAGCCCCCTTAGTGCGTCTTCCACGGGAAAGCGCAGGAGGACACGGGAGCCCACGCCCGCCTGCACCCCAGGCCCCTTTGTCACTCGCTGCAGGATCATTGCACTAATGCGATACGACTGGCACAGCAGCTCGGGGACGAGGTCGGGGACAGGAATAGCAGGGGGCAGGCAGCAGCAGAGCTGTGTGCAGGGAGCCCGGGACTGCAGCAGCAAGGACCTCATGCTGGTCCAGGCTGAGATACGCTGGCTGAGCTGAGCATGAGAGAAGCCCGGGACTGGAACAGTAGGGCTGGGAGGGTCGCCATGGCCCATCCAGTCCAACCCTTGCACAAGTGCAGGACCCGCTGTTTCCAGACAGACCTCCCCCAGCCTTGTCCCCAAAACCTCTGAAGGATGTGCCCAGGCTGCTTGCTCCATCGCCCTATTTTTCTCACAGCTGAGGACCTCAAGGACCTCAGTATAAGCTACTCAAACCATCTCCTGCTGTTGCTTTGCTCTCTCAGCTATAAAGACCGCAGGTCATGTGGGGAAGCCGGTGCCCAAGATAACGCTCTGGCAGCGCACTGAGCATCCAGTAATCCTACAGGAGCCAAAGGCTGTTGTGGGCTCAGAGAGATCTTCACTTAGAAAACACTGATGTTTGGA